GGTCTTGGGCTTGATGCCCTTGCGCGCCGCAAACTGCTCCCACTTGGTGGGCGGCTTGGGCTCCGGGACGGGCTTCTCGCGTGGCAGGGCGGTGGCGACGGGCGGCAAGTTGAGGAGGACGCCGTCGGCGGTGGTGCGCTCGATGCGGCACGTGGTGAGCAGCTGGTTGACCAGGGCCTGGGCGCCGTCGCGGGCGACGGCCGCGAGGTCGGCCTCGTGGGCGTCCTTGTCGGCGGCGGCGGACGTGATGGTCGCCGGATTTGCGTCGTTGGCGAGGAGGAGGCCGAGATCAAAGGTGTACGGCGTGTCCTTTTCGACGGCCACCTGCAGCTTGGGCCCGCGCTGGCCAGCGGGCGTGGTGCTGGCCGTTGCGGCCATTGTGACAGGGCGTGTGTTTGTGTGTTTGAGTGTTTGCGACTGCGGTTGAGACGAGAGTCTGTATCGAATGACAAAACGGCGTGTACAAGTGCAGTTGGGTGTGAATCGCCGCAATGCAAATCTCGTGATGCAAATGTCGTGATGGGGTCGAGGCGTCGCTGGTGGCAGGAGCGACCCAGCAATTCGAACTTTTTTCCTGCAGAAAAAATAAAGTGGAGACAGCGTCTCTGATAAGGCCGATAAGCCTACAAGTCGGCCCCACCGCCACCCCACAACCGCAGAATTGTGGGTCGGCTTAAAACGGGCGGCTATCGATAAGAAGGGCAGGAGAAAAAAGTTAAAAATTTGGTGGGCAAGAGCGACTGGCGTTGAGAGCTGCATAATTTCCTCCACCTCATAATCTAACACTTCGCAGCCACAGTCGACACTGACCTCTTCGTTTCGCCATCCCTTTCAAACGACGTTCCATCCGACGCAACAGCCAAACATCGGTCTGAATATGGACCCTCACGCGGCCGGCCCCCGGGCCAAAAAGGCCAAGCTGGACAAGGCGAGCAGGGCTGTGAAGGCGGCGACGAGCGAAAACGGCGAAAACGGCGAGAAAGTCAAAAAGTCGACTAAGATAAAGACGAAGAAGGCCAACGAGATAGAATACACCGAGAAGATGAAAAAGACGGACACAGCCGAGACCATAGCAAAATCAAAACGGCCGATAGAGGAGGAGGAGGGTGAGGGCGAGGCGGACGAAACGGCAGCGGCTGAGCTGGAGCAGGAGGAAGCTGGCGAGGCGACGGAGGAGAAGGCGCCAGCCGAGGAAGAGCTTCCAACGACGTTCAAGGAGCTGGGCCTCGTCGACGTGCTCTGCGAAATCTGCGCAACGCTCAAGTTCTCCAAGCCCACGCCGATCCAGGCCAAGGCCGTGCCCGTGGCTCTGCAGAACCGCGACGTCATCGGCACGGCCGAGACGGGCAGCGGCAAGACGCTCGCGTTTGCCCTCCCCATCCTGCAGGCGCTGCTCGACAAGCCGCGGCCGTTCTTCGGCCTTGTGATGGCGCCCACGCGCGAGCTGGCCGTGCAGATCGGGCAGACCTTTGAAGCGTTCTCGAGCATCGCGCTGCGGTGCGCCGTGATTGTCGGCGGCATGGACATGGTCCCGCAGACGATTGCGCTCGGCAAGCGGCCGCACATCATTGTGGCCACGCCGGGCCGGCTGCTGGACCACCTCGAATCGACCAAGGGCTTCTCGCTCAAGAGCCTGCGGTATCTCGTGATTGACGAGGCGGACCGGCTGCTGGACATGGACTTTGGGCCGACGCTGGAAACGATTCTCAAGCACCTGCCGCGCGAGCGCCGCACCATGCTCTTCTCGGCGACCATGTCGAAAAAGGTCGAGAGCCTGCAGCGCGCCAGCCTGCGCGACCCCGTGCGCGTGACGGCCACGTCGCCCGGCGGCGCGGGGCCCGACGGCCAGCAGATGGTGTCGACGCTCAAGCAGAGCATGCACCTGGTGCCGTATCCGAAAAAGGACACGGCGCTGGTGTATCTGATCAACGAGTACAACGGGCGGTCGGTGATTGTGTTTACGCGCACCGTCTACGAGACGCACCGCGTGGCGTTTTTGCTGCGCGCCCTCGGCTTTGGCGCGATCCCGCTCAACGGCAAGCTGAGCCAGTCGGCGCGGCTGGCGGCGCTCAACAAGATCAAGTCGGGCGACCGCGGCATTCTTGTCGCCACGGACATTGCCGCGCGCGGCCTCGACATCCCGCGCATCAGCATCGTTATCAACTACGACGTGCCCCAGGACAGCAAGACGTACGTGCACCGCGTGGGCCGGACCGCGCGCGCGGGCAAGTCGGGCCACGCCATCAACCTGGTGACGCAGTACGACGTGCAGCATTTCCTGGCCATTGAAAAGGCCATTGGCATGGAGCGCCAGATCCGGCCGCTGCCCGTCGACAACGAGGAAATGGACGTGTTCCGCCCGCGCGTCGAGGAGGCGCAGCGGCACGCCAAGGCGGAGATGCGCACGTGGCAGGAGCAGCAGGCCAACCACGGCCGGCGCAGCGGCGGGCGGCCGCGCAACAACGGGTCGGGCGTCATCGGCGGCCGCAGCCGGGACGACGACATGGACCGGGGAGAGTTGTAATGGCTTGCGCGACTGCTCTTGAGACGACGATACACCTTTGTACTTTTACCGATCCATGTACTACTGGGCCTTCGGTTTGGGCTGTTCTTTCCCGGCGTTTTTCACAGGTTTTGTCAACTTGCGTGTTTCTTTAGGATGCTAGGTTTTATGGTAGGTTTGTATTTGTTAATCAGACAACATTTTGTCAATTTTTTCTCATTTCCATCGACAAACCACACCATCTTGTCGTACGGCTTGTTTTCAACTGAGAGGTGTCTCTCATTGTGATGGCTGTCTCACTGAAAAGTGGGTCTCTACGGACACCAATGGGCGCTGCCGCCGCGCCGGTATCGTCCCGCTTTTGGCTCTTGCCCATCGTATTGTTGCCAGTTAAGCGCCCGACAACAAACAGGGGTCTTCTGTAGCCTCTTTTCCTCTTCCTTCTTTGACTCTCACTCACCACTTTGTCTTTTCGTCTGTTGTTTATCTGTGGGGTGCCTTCGCCCTGGGAAGCGCCGGCAGGCTGAAAGCGACAAAGTGTGCAGAGTCAATATGTCAGGTGCAGCAGAACCAGGCTATTGGAATCAGGTACAAACGGCCTTTTTGGTCGATGAGCTGGCCACGATCCCCACGAGAGTCTCGACCACTGCCCGCCAGGCCGCCCAGTGGCATCTTCACGATTCGCGCCGGCCGCAGAGAAGGTCGCAGATGGTGGACATAAATGCAGAAATCTGGTGAGGGAGGGTTGGCAAGAGCTCAGAGTGGAGAGGCGAGACGAAATAGTAAAGAAGAGAGATGAGGAAGGATTGCAATATTGAAAGCGTGTCCGAAAGCGGTCTGACGGGATGCACTGTCTGCAGATGGTTTGCGACAATAGGCGACCCGATGCAATGGCCACATGGTTCCTTTAGCACCGCGTGGATTTCCTAGAGAGGATGCTCTGTACGTCGTAATTGCTTGCTGCTGTGCGAATTCATAAATTTAATTCATTCGTAAATCGAGACTGCGTGTGACCGAATGCCTTCAAAGTCTGTGCCTAACCAAGCGAGTCGTCGTTGCTGCATGGTAACAATCCAATCGTCATCACAATTGTTCTATATCGTCGCGTTTATTTCTTTTCTTTTCCCTTTCTTTTCCCTTTCTTTTCTCTTCTCGTTCTCTTTCTTCTGTTTCTCTTTCTTGTTTTCTGTTTCCTTCGCATATCACAAAATATTATCCCGGCGTCGACTTGCATATCCCACCAATACCACCCTGGTCGACCAAATACGACAGCCAGCCTATGAGATCTCCTTGGACCCCTGCCATCCGTCCCGCCAACTCGCTAATACGACTGTGCTTGGATCTCCCTTCTGTCTTCTTTTTAAGCGCCGGCTAGTCTGCGAGCTGTTGCGTATGGACGCATTCCTCTGCGATTTCTGAACGGCCGCCCTCACCTGTGATTGCGATTGGCCTTTCTTGATTGGCCTTTTATGGTCTGTGAAGCACACTGAAAGTTGACGAAGAGAGAAAAGGACGGCCAGACTGGCCTCGTTCATCCCTCCCACGTCAGTGTTTCTCGCTCTGTCCTCTCAACCCGGCCATCGGAACAATATCGAGTGCAGGAAGCTCTGCTCTCTTGTCGTTGTGCCGCCAATGCCAGTCGAGCTCACAAAAACGTCCGCTGGTGGGCCTAGATCATCGCACTTTTCCTGTGCCGATATTTCCTTTTCCCCATATGGATTCCTCCTTTTCTGGTTTCCCATCCCCATCCCCCATCACATCTGTACACTTGCAGAATAGCGTGCTCGTGTCCGTCCCACGCTAGACCCGTCGTAGCAATCCATCCTGCAGGTGCCTCGTTCCCAAGGGCGGCTGCATGGACTGCTGTCATCGAATACCGCATATTTTATTTTCTTTTTGCATTCTCGTTTGCCGCTGTCGTTTGGCCCATCCGTCTGAGAAAAATCACACTCCATGCACGTCCCTTTTTCACGGTGATGAGATGTAAAGTGGACTACGAACACAGCAAACGATGGGTGGGTGCCGTAATCGTATTAGTCTCGGGCGAGTCTGTTGACCGCTTGTCAATGTATTGATATATCGTGGCCTTCCACCTCGTCCTATTTCCTGGGCTTGCCTGACCTTCTTCGGCTTCCTTTTCCTTCCTTGTGGTCCAGCGTCTTCATACCGTTCCTGTTTTTTTTTCTTTGTGTCTCCCTCGAAAGCAAGCAGGCCTGCTTTCGCCTTTCTCTCCTTTCACTCCATAATATATACATTCAACTTCCTGGCTTCTGCAGGCAGTCGGCCGTGGAACACCACTTTCAGCACACAACAATATACGCTTTCCTAATTCTTATTCATTATTGTCTTCTTGTCTTCATCCCATTCTCACTTAATATGGTCTCGACTCATTTATACGCTATTTCGTTCTAGAGACGACCTCACGGACACGAAATCCATCTCTTTCTTTACCTTTTTTCTGTCTTTTTTTTTTATTCATTCCCACATAGACCTTCAAATGTCTCTGATACGCCGTTCGGGCCGCTTGGCCACGGCCGTGGTTGCGGCCGTCTTGTCTCTCGGCCTCTTTTCCACCGCCGCCTTGGCCATCCAGGTCACGCCCAACTCGCCCTGTGCCTCGCTCTGCATCGACAGCGCCGGGCTCGACACCTCGGACCCCAACTCGTCCAACACCGTCAATGCCGACATTGTCTGCAACGACGCCGATTTTGCCAGCAAAAGCGCCGGCAAAAAGTGGACGGCCTGCATGGGCTGCCTGCAGAACAGCACCTTCTCCCAGGGCGCCGAGAGCGACCAGGCCTGGTTCTTTTACAACCTGCGGTACAACGTCGACTACTGCATCTTTGGCTACCCGGACGCCGGCGACGCCGTTGGCTCCAGCCCGTGCCAGACGTCGACGGCCTGCGGTCCCTTGCAGGGCAGCCTCTACGACGGGGTCCCCCGCATGGGCAACCACACCGAGTTTGGCTACTGCACGGCCAACGGCACGACCCTGTCGAGCAGCCAGTTCAAGGGCTGCACGGCGTGCGTCGGCGGCAGCGGCGACCAGAACATTGTAGCCAACTCGCTCATTGCCCTCGAGGCGGGCTGCCTGCAGCAGCTGCCGCCGGACGAGGCGGTCGGGCTCAGCGGATCGGTCTTTGCGTCGGCCACGACCATTTCGATCGTGGCACCGACCCAGACGAGCGGCTCTGGCTCGGGCGCGTCGGGCTCGGGCACGGACAGCCGGCATGTCGCCACGACCACGATTGCTGTCATTGTTGTTGTGGCTCTCCTGGCCGTTGCCGCGATTGGTGGGTTTGCGTTTGTGTGCTACCGCAAGCGCCGCGGCTCGGCTCGCCGTGGTGCGGCCGGCTCCAAGAGCATCTTTGGCAAGAACAAGGAGCAGGACGGCTTTTACGGTGCCGAGGGCGGTTTTGGTGAAGGTGGGGGCGGCGGCGGCGGCGGCAGTAGTGGCTTCGTGCCCAGCGGTGGCATCCGAGGCAGTGGCCTCGGCGGGTTTGTGTCGGTTCCGACGGGCGGTGCCAGTGTGCGTGGCTCGCCAGCGTCTGCCGCGGACCCCAACGCTTGGTCCTCTCGCTTTCCGTCCAGCGAGGTGATCACGTCGCCGCTCAGCTTCCAGTGTCGCGCGAGCGCCACGAGTCTTGGCGACATGGTCGACCGCAAGGTCGTCGCTGAGTCCGTCGCCGAGTCCGCTCCTCCTGCTGCCACCGTTCCTTCCAACCGTGGCGGCGGACACAGCCGCAGCAGCAGTACCGGCAGCGTCGAGATGGGCGTGGCACTGCAAGAGCAGCAGCTGCAGCAGCAGGTACAGTCCGCCTCGCGCAGAAAGCACCAAAAACCCCAGGCCATCAGCAGTGCCGCCATCCACGCTGCCATTAATGCTGCCGCCGCATCCCATTCCACCGCCACCACCATCTCCTCCACGAATAGCCTTGGCAGCGGTGGCAGCAGCGGCCACCTGTCGGCCATTGTCGAGTCGCCGTTCCCGTCGCCCGCGCCTGCAGCCCAAACTGGCAACGGGGCGGACGGCATCGGAAACATTGGCATGCGCATCCACTCAATCGACTTTGACAAGAAGGGCTACGCCGAAGCCGCTGCGGCGGTATCACAGTCGTCGCCGCCCCGGCTGCACCAGCTCAAGACATCCTTCTCGCCCTATCTGGGCACGAACTCGTCGCCCTCGTACAACACGCCGACGTCGTCAACAGCACTACTGTCGTCCACGTCTCTGACGGGCCAACTGCCGTCGCCGCCCACAGGCCACAGCGTCTACAACCCGAGCGTGTATGCCCCAGCCCATGGCGCTGCGGGCCCGTCGCCGACGGCCTACACCAATATCAGTGTGGCTGCTGCTGCCGGCCAGCGCGGCGTCTACCAGGGCTGGTCCGCCATGGTGTCCGCGGCGCAGCAGTACCAGCAGCAGCAGCTGCAGCAACAACACCTGCAAAACTCGGCAACAACGTCCATGCCGGCATCGGCCGTGGGGTCCTACCGTGGCGAGCGCGAGCCGGCGTCCGCCGTGTCCGTCGTGTCCGTCGTGTCCGTCGCTTCGCTGGCGTCCTCCCACGGTCTCGGCGCGGCCACCATGGCCGCGCGGCAAACGTTCTCGGACCGGGAACCGCAGTCGGCCGGTGGCGCAGGCGACGTGTCGGCCACGTCCATGCACCCTCCCGGTGGAGGCTTCCCGCCGGTGTCGTCGGCCGCCTCATCGGTGCGACAGCACAACAAGTCGCCGCATGGGCGGTCGCCGCACACCAAAGCCAAGCTGCCCCTGGGCAGCGGCAAGCCGTCGCATGCGCGGTCACCGCACACGCAGACGGAGCTGGTACAGACCGAATTCCTCCCGCCGCCGCCAGCAAGGACACGGAGGTGAAGAGGAGAGGAGATTGCGATGGACTTGGATCGGATAACGACGTGATGTCTTCTTTTCTTTGCCTGCTTTTTTTGCTTTTGTTTCCATATCCGCCTTCCTTTCTTTCCATCCTGTCTGTATAATTAGTACTGCATAGCAGATTCACGGCCGACTTACCACATTACCTTTGTCGTCTCATTATTAACATTTCCTCTGTCTAAATTGGCTGTTCATCATTTTCCGCGGGAGAGAAAATATACCCCTATTCTGTTGCCTATGGCTCCTGCCTTGTGTAAGTGCTCAGTGCATTACCGAAACGGGCAGTAGAAGACCGTGCGGATGTGCTTCTTTCCCTGAAAGTTATCTTGCCTCTCCTCTAGCAATGTCGTCGATCGTACCTGCCCTCGTGGTAGCCAATCGGACAACACCGACTGCGCACCTTCCCGTCGAGCCAGGTCGCTGTAATCGAGGGGCAACAGCCTGACACCCTAGCCAGGGGCGGGCAGGAGCTACCCGGGACACGTTATGCCAAAAACGGGCCAGGGTATTCCAGGCACAGCAAGTGCCCGTAGTGGAATCCAGTGCCCGGTCCCGCCTGCCTGGTTCACTCCAGGGCCCCTCTCCTCTCCCCCTTCGTATCAGTTCCTTCCTTTTGCCCTGACACCCGGACTGTGTCAGAACTCTCCATCTCTTCTGACGTCGTCTGCCATTTGGTTATTTGGTCGTCTATTCTTCTTTTCTTCTCTTCTTTGTCAGTCTCCATTTTTGCAAAAGCATCCATTAGAATCCCCGTATCTCTTTTATTTCCTTCATTTTACACTCTTCAATACGCGAGTCTACACCATGTCTTGTAAGTCCAGTCCTTTGAGTGTCATCCTCCCCGACTTTCGTCGACTAACCCTCGCGCCCCAGTCTTCAACACCACAGCGACCCTCCGCCACACGTCGCAGTTGCCGGCGGGGACCGACAAGACGACGGCCGTCAAGGCGATGCTGCAGGACCACCGCGCGTTTATCCAGTGCGGACCCCACAGCGTCGACTGCGCGACGGTCGCCGACGACGAGGCGGCCCAGCTGGCCGAGACGGCCCTGGCATCGCACGCCAAGTCGGAGCACCCCTTGCCGGAGGATGTGCGGGCCGTCCTAGAATCGTCGCCCCGGGAAAAGGACGGCCGCCGGTTTGGCGTCTACCGCGTGACGGACGTCGTGCAGACGCTGCCGGCGGGGCTGTGGGACTCCAAGGTGGTCAGCACGTACGAGATGACGGACATGCCGTCGGGCGTGTTTGTGCGCATCCGCAGCCCCATGTCGATTGTGATGGACACGACGTGGACGGTGGCGGAGACGGAAGGTGGCGGCGACGCGTCTGACAGCGCATCCGAGACGAAGCTGGTGCTCGTCGAGGAGATTGTCATCTACTGCTCGCGGCTGCTGGTCGGCACCGTCAAGGGCCTGTGCGAGGGCGGCTGGCAGCAGATCCACGGAAACATGATGAAGCGGCTGGCCGAGGGCGACGCGGCCGAGATGGGCAAGCAGTAGAGTGACTTGGGCGTGAGTCTCTCCATATACCATACATACAAGAGAGCTGAGACGAAAGAACGAGAGACATAGACGGCATCGGCGTTTTGGGCATTCTCCTTTCTTGCAAATTCATTTCCATGTACCAATGACCGGTCGTGGGCGTATATACAAATCAGATCCATCCTTCCTCCCTACATCATATACTTACAGCTTCCCCATGTAGGTTTGGCCGCGCTGCAGGGCCACGACGGCACCGGCCACCATCTCGTCGACAATCTCCTTGGCCGGCTGCACCTTTTGGATGTTGCCGGCGACCTGGCCCATCAGGTACGGCATCTCCACCTCGTCCTCGTCGCTATCAAACTTGACGTCGTCGCCGACATGGCCCTCGCGGCGGTGGCTCTCGAGGTCGTGCTCAAAGGGGATGATGCCCTGGTTGCAGAGGTCGCGGATCTTTTGCGGCTGCTCGTGCCACTTGCGAATGTAGGCGTTGAGCTTGGTGCGCAGCGGGCGGCCCGTCAGCACCAGCGTAATGTCCGTGTCGTCCGTGTCGCACGTCACCACGGCCTGCTTGTGCGCCTCGCTGCAGTTGGCCTCCTGGCACGCCACAAACCGCGTGCCCACCCAGACGCCCGCCGCGCCCTGCATCAGCGCCGCCGCCAGCCCGCGGCCGTCCGCGATGCCGCCGGCGGCCACCACGAGCGGCTCCGCCAGCAAAAAGTTTTTCTGGCCCGTGGCGCGGCGCCGCTCCTCGGCCACGCGCTGCGCCACGTCTACGACGGCCGGGATCAGCACCGTGCCGGCGACGGGCCCCGTGTGGCCGCCGCCCTCGGTGCCCTGCGCGCACACCAGGTCGACGCCGCGCGCCAGCGCCTTGGCCGCGTGCTTGGGGTGGCCGACCATGTTCATAACCAGGATGCCGTGGCGGTGCAGGCGGTCGATGACGTAGGCGGGCGGCACACCGACGGCGCTGACAAACAGCTTGGCGCCCTCGTCGATGACAATGTCAATCAGCTCGTCGAGCTTGCCGTCGGTGTAGTCGTAGTTGGTGGCGCGGGCGCCGTTGCCGACCTGGGGTAGTGCCAAGTCGATGCCAAAGGGCAGGTCGGGCCGGGCGAGCTCGGCCTTGAGCTCGGCCACGACGTCACGCAGCTGCTGCGGCGTCAGGCGGAAGCCGCCGACGACACCGAGGCCGCCGGCGTTGCTGACGGCCGCGGCCAAGGAGCCGCCAGAGACGCGGGCCATGCCGGCGAGGACCACCGGGTGCTGGATGCCGAGCAGCTTGGTTAGGGGTGTCGAGAGAGGCGCCATTGTGGATCGGGGGGGTGGGAGAGTAGGAGTGTGAGGATGGGAAAGAAAGAAAGGGGACGGAATAAAGGAGAGAAATCGGGGGGAGACTGGGCAGAGAGCGTGAAATGGTGAAATGGTGAAATGGGAATGATGCAGCGATGTTAGCAAATAGCTGTAAGTCAAGCCCCAGACGGCGTCTGCAAATCGCCGCAACTGCCGTTTGGGGCTTTGCGGGGAATCTGCGACAAACCGCCTGGGGAAGCTGCGACTAGCGCCTGCAACAAAACATGCCGAGGCACAATGGGAAGGCGCCGAGGGCAGCAACAGCAGCCTGTGCAATTGACTGTCAACAGCGCAGATAGTGTAGATAGTGCAGTCAGGATAGTCCACAAATACGACACCACCAAATAACAAGTTGTCGGAGCAGGATATGATCGACGACAGTACTTGTGGGCACTCACGAGGCAGCAGCGAAACGACGACATACACATCGAGCGGTAACAAGGCTCGCGGCGTCATTGGCCATGTCCACTTGAGGCCACAGCTGTGTGATTGACATTGCCAATGGCTGCATTCATACGCATCGTTACACTTTTTATTGCAAGCAAAGTCCGCCGCAGGTCTCAGTACCTATAATCGATAAAATACAATGTCATTCCTTCGTCGCGGGAGAGGGTCGCTCGCTCGAGAGTCGTGGCCCTCTCGTCTAGGTATATACTGTAGACATGAAATAAAGATGGAGAAAGAGGAGGAAAAGGGAACGAGAAAGATGAAAGGGCGCAAGGTACAAAGAAACAAAAGTGAGTATAGTACAGCGAGGTAACACATTGCGCGCAACAAGCCGCCGAGGCGTCGGTGTGATGTGCGGAGTGCGCGGCCCTACCCCGTACGCCTCGTCTAATCGAAGCGCGGCAACCGGGCCGGGACAAAGCCCCCTTCGCGCACTTTTTGCGAGACGACAGGCGTCGCTGTCGGTCCAGACATGGTGTTGCCGTGCACCGGTATTGTTGCTGTTGGCGCAGGCCTGTCCGTGGCCTTGTCTGTGACCTGGCCCGAAACCGTACCAGAACCCGTGTCGGCTGTCGCCGCCGCGGCCGTATCGGCCCCGGCCAGTCCACGCTCGCGCGCCAGACGCGCGGCTGCTTCGCGGCGCATCGCAACCGCCTCCTCCTCTTCGTGCGCGGCGCGCTCGTCTTCTGCCCGGAGCTGGTCAGCCGTCAGTTCGACCGCTGGGGTGGCGTCCGCCTCTTCATCGACACGCTCGTCCAAGGCGTCGCCGCCGAGGGGCAGAGACGCGCTGCTGCCGAGACGCTTGGTGATGGACGACGGCGGCGACCGCGGCGACGACCCGACGGCCACGCTGTCCATGGTCGTGCGCGAGACGCTGCGGCTGAGCACGCCCTTTGATGCGGGGACAAGCACCGGGCCCCCGGCTGCCGAGGCTGCCGAAGCTGCCGAGGCGCCCGTGTCGGCGCGCGTCTTGCCCTTGCGCTGCTCCACCGTCGCCGTTGCGGCGAGGCTGCTGCTGCTGCTGAAGCGCGTGCGTCCGCTGCTGCGGTCGTCGACGTGGTTGAGTGCCACGGCAAACTCGTCGTCCAGCGGCACGGCGTCCTCGTCGTCCTCCTCGTCGCTCGGGAACAGGTCGCCCCGTGACCGGATGGAATTGGACGTGTCGCCCGAGCTGGTTGTTCCGCTGCGTTGCCGCGTCGCGGGCGTGCCGTCGTCGTTATAAGTCAGAGCCCCGGCACCCGGCCCACGTCCACGTCCTCCACCTGCTGTTACTGGCCGGCCGTCCGCTGCGGGGACAGACGACATGGCCGTTCCATACTGCCTTGATGCGTCCGCCGCCGCCAGCTCGTTCTGCCATGGCAATGGCCCATGCCGTGACCCGGTGCCGTCTTGCTGGTCGTCGTAGTCGTCGCCATGGCCGCCCAAGAGTGGCTCGTTTTCGTCTCGGGCGCGCATCATGTCGGCGCCGCCGCCCATCCGCCGCCCGCCCATTGCGTTCCGGAGGCTGTCCCGGCTGGGGCCGCCGCTGTTGGGGTGCTCGCGCAGGTTGGCCGCGCTCGGCTTGTATCGTAATGTGCCGCCAATCTTCCACGGCAGCCGGCTCAGGAAGCCCAGTGGTGCTGAGCTCGGGATGACGGTCGGGTCGTCGCCGCCGGGCGGCTTGCGCCACGCCGCGCGTGTGGTGTAGGTCATGCCGCGGCCCCGCCGTGGCTGGTCCACAATCTCGCCGCCGCCGCCGCCGGCGGCACCGTGGGATGCTGCCATGCCGCCCTCGACGTCACCTGCCGCGTCGCCTTCGGCGTCGCCATCCAGGTGGGGCCGGTTTCGTATGGAGCCCGACCCGGCCAAGAGCCGGTCCCAGTGCTCGGAGCGGCTGCCGCGCCAACTGCCAAAGAACCCACGACCAAACAGGCTGCTGATCGTGCCCACACCCGACGCGCCAGCTGCCCCGCCTCCTCCTCCTCCGGCCCGCTCGTCGTCCATGTCGCCCGCCCCAGCGCCGAGCCCGTCGTAGTCGTCGTTGTAGTCGTCGTACCAGTCGTCGTAGAAATCAAAACTGTACTCGGCCCGGCTGCGGTGCGCGCCGCGTGCGCGCTCGCGCTGCCGCCGGGCGCGGTCGTCGCGGTCGCCGAGGCAGACGGCCGTGCACGAGTCAAAGGCCTCGCCGACGGAGGCCAAGCACGGGTTGACGTAGGCGTGCTGGAACGTCCAGATGCCGGCCGCGGCGTTTTCCGTCACCGTCTCGGCGTTGTGAGAGATTTGGTTCCACCGCTGCCTCAGCCGCGGGTCCTCGAGGAAGGCGGCCATGGCGGATGGGTGGGCGAGGATGAAGAAGCGCTATGGTATGGGATACGTGAGATGTGCAGGGAGAGGGCGCGGCGCAAAGGTCGCGCAAGAACGGTTCGTACAGCGCACGCGGGTCGGGCTGCGACAAGACGGGGCGGCGTACTGCTGCCACGATCGCCCATGAAGAATACGTCGATGGATCACTGCCACGAAATGATGTCGGATACACCTTGGTAGATGCAAAGTACAGTCGTAGGAGGACGTCACAGTGCGGCTTTGTTTTTTGCGTGCGGAGACAGATCGTGGGCGAATGAAGATGCGACCTGCCACGGACCGCATACGACTATCGAGAACGGGCAATTCGCTGTCGAAACGCCTGGCCCGCTTATCTGCAGAAGAGCACAGTCGCTCCTCTGGCTGCTGTGCGCCGTTCTCGCCTGTCACTCTGTCTGCTTGTTGCCCAGCCTTTGCCGTCGTTGCTTGTGCCGCGTGCCGTGCCGCTTTGTTTCGTATCGCGGTCGTCCTGCTGCCTTGTCGGTGTGGGGGAGGTCGAATGTCGACACAATTATCTCTGCTGACTCCGAGACGCGCAATGAATTGCACATGTATTGCGCGTGCTGCAGTCGTCGGTGTCGTCGTCGTTTGGGTTGCTGTTGTGTTTTGTCGCGATGCATGGAGGATGAGAGGAGACGGGAGATGGGGGCATGGCCTGGCCCGAATGATTGCAACCGGGCTGCCAATGCTTAACTGCAAAGTGCCAAACACGCTAGCCCCGTTACGTCCTTTTCTTAGTCAGTTTTCGTGTGAGTGCTCTGAAAACGACCCTGAAATGCGCTGGATCCCACTAACTCCCCAGAGGGCGCTAGAGGCGCCCCGTGCGCTAAAACACGGCGCTGAACGGGGAATGACGTATGATTCTTCAGCAACTGTTCAACGGTGCCAAAACAGCATCAAGTTACACAACGCACGTTCTCTCTCGAAACACATTCGCAGCGACTCGGATGTCTTCGCACACTGAGCCTAGGCTTGTGAAGTCTTTTACAATCGTTAGAGTCACCTAAAGTTAGGAATATGTGTACTGTCGGTTGTCACCACGAGACGTTATTTATCAACATCGAGCAATCATGTCTCGCGACATAAGCATCGTAAATATTCTGTGAATTATTATGTAAATGATGTTCTGTGGCATGCGTTGATACGAGCAAAACATATTCGCAGCTGGCATGCTGGGGCCGGTGTATTGGCGCGAGAGCAGGTACGTGGAAAACTTCCATGGGATGTTGTAAGCAGTCAGGAATGAAGGTGCTGATTCATGGTATTAAATAAAACCTCATACGAACATACACACCAACAGACTTGGCATCACTACGCGCAAGCACGTTTGGAAGAGCAAAACAGAGCTGTAGAATGATGTGAGCTTTCAAAAGCGTAGTGTCATGAGCTAAAAGTACAATGCAATGGAAATGCTCGGTGCCCAGAACCCCTAAATCCCCTACTGTAAACAAGACGTAGAATGCCACTGGGGCGTGTAAACCCGGCGAGGTCTTTGATGCGCCGTTTCGGCTGCTCACCGGAGCCAAAGAGCCAGAGTCAAAATGTGCCAAACCCACAATACAAGATCGACAGAAGACTGCCAGTGCTTCTCCCGGCATGCCATTCCGCCGTGTGAGAGTCCTTCGCCTGCTGGGCCTGCCAAAGAGAGCAGCCGTCAAACATGTCCAGCTGGCGCTGTGCCCAAGCCAGTCGTCTATCGACTCGAGCAAGAGAGGGTGACTGCGTCGCCAAAATGTATTCGGGATGTCGTCGGGTTCGTCCAGGCTGGCTTATACCAAAAAAAACTGGACATCGTAAGACACGTGCCAGTGAGACGAGGCCAAGCGCCAATGTCGTAGGCTCTCGCGCACGGTGGTAGTGCCGTTCTGGTGCCTTGACGATCTGGCCAGCGCATAGCAAGAACATCGTCCGAGACTTCCACGGACGTTGCATCTGGTACTCGATGCCAGCGGGCGGTGGGATTCGGTCGGCGTGCAAATGTCTCGAACATGCGAGTGTGAATTTGGGTGGATGATATATGGATGAGATATGATGAGATATGGGCGGCCGTTGGTATATATATGCTAGTATGTGTACAATAGATTTTCACCGTCAGTTGGCGTATGCTGACTCGTCGCGGCGCCGGAAAATTATCCGTTGTGAGAGAGAAGGAAGGAGTGAGAACGGTCGGAGAGTGTCGAGAATCGCGTTCGAATCATGGTGGCAGGCCGGCTTGTTCGATTTTTTCAAGGATCAACTTCATCTCGGCTTGCATCTTCGCTTCGGATCGGCTCAGGTCCTGCACCTGCTCGTTGAGTCGATGGGAGAGCGCCACCTCCGCCTCGGCTCGTTTCCGCTCGCGTTCGAACCGGGCCATGTTGTACTGCACTTCCAGCTCTTTTGTCCGCATCAGCGAGTGGAAGTGCAGTTCGCGGAGCTCGTACTGGTCGATCATCGACTTGAACCGCTGCCGGAACCTGTCGCATTGTTAGCTGGACACTTTGAAAGAAACAGGAGAGACAGATCATCCCGCCAAGGAACGTACAATTCGTCGAGCTCAACGTCTACCACGTGCTTCTTCGGGTGGTCCTTCTCCTCTTGCAGGTCGTCGAGCTTCTGGAGCAGTGTCGCGTACTTCTGGTCCCACGAGTTCAGATTGGACACTTCGTTGGCTTTCAAAGTCCGGTTCTCGTTCTGCTCGGGAGAAGAGGGTCACGTCAGCATATCGTTGTCGCATGAAGCAAGTCACAGAGTGTGCCGCTGCGGGCCAGCGCATCCGCACCTTTAGCTTGTTGTTCTCTTTCTGCAGTTCACGGCACAGCTTCTCCAGCTTCTCCTTCAAGCTCGTCGCCTTGCTGAACTCGGTTCGGCTCTGGTCGCGGTCTTTTTGTAGCTGGTCGGCGCGCTTCTTGTTCTTGAGGCTTTCGCGCTCATGTCGTTTCATCTCGTGCAGAAGCTCTGTACAGCGTCGAGACAAGTGATCCGCCTTTTGTACTGCATCCATCTTGGCTGTCTGGCTATTCAGCTCTCGGTTCGCTTTTCGTACTTCCTTCTCTAAAGCGCAGAGTCAACGTGGTTAGCTTCGGAAACCGTAGCGGCTTGGGTGTCGCCAGACAACCCGCTCGAGCAGCAGAAGCTCACCTATTTCGAGCTCCTGGTCCTTCTCGCCCGCTTGGTCTAGCTCCAATTGCGCAATCTTTTGGGCGACAAGCTTCGACGCTTCATTTGACGCAACTGTTGGTTGTCGACGTGCCGCCTTGGCGGCTTTGGATGGGGCCGGCGCTGCCTGTGCGGATCCGGACGCTGCTGGTGGCGGCGGTGGCGGCGGCGGCGCAGGCCGTGTGTCGTGCGCGTGTCCGTTCATCGTGGCGGAAGTCTCGTGTGCGTGGCCCACAGCACCGTTTGTTGCGAGTCGTGTGTGCGATGCCGCCGTGGATATTGGGCGGCAAAACGATGCGAAGGCAGCCGGACGAAGGGGGCGTCGGGAAGCGCCGAAAATCACGGTGAATCAGTGTCCGTTTGAGCTTCCTACACCGAATCAGGTTGGGTGTCGGTAAAAGGAGCGTCCGAACAAGTCGACGTCTGGGGTTGGTTGGGGACAATGGCCGTTCAATCGGACAGATCTCGTGGACTGGGGATGCTAAAGGATAGGTATGACAGGGGTCGTGTGGAAAACGTGTAGTCGAACGGCTGGTCGTGGAACGCGGCAGATGTCGGCTCGGCGTCTTTAGCAGGCTCCAAACCGCTTTTCCCGTCCGAGCTGAACTCGATGTCGTGTCTGAAAAAGGTATTTCTTGGGCCGCCCGGCTCGCCAGTAACGATTAGGACAAGACCAAACAAAGTCCAGGTCGAAAACTGTGATCCACGAGGTGGGAGAGCGACAGGACGCTGGGACGGCAGACAGCGTGCGAAACAACGAGAGAGCCAGCTTTCTGCAAGGGAGATTGCGGCCGAGAGGAGAACGAGCAGGAGAGGTCGGATGCGACGAAAGAGGAAGAGGCACGGGACCTGGTCCTGGCGGCAAAGCTGAGACTGAAAATGGCCAAAAGTCGGAGAGAATGTATGGTGGCTCTAGTTATCGAGGACGTCGACAAAAACGGTTGAGCGTGAACACAGCAAAGTCGAGGCCAGATCGAGACAGCTGCACGAGGTCCGGTAGGTGCACAATTGGCGAATGTTGGATGCGTGGTCGACGAAGAGGCTGCGAGGAGACGAGAGAAGGGCGAGGTCGAGGTCCGAAATTAAAATAAAAAATGATAAAAATTGGAAAATTCGAGATTTCGGGCAAGTGCAAACCAACTGCCCAGCCGCCCCAGCGGGCCACCAGCATTCGACAGGTGAGGAAAGAGCAAAAGCAAACGGCACTAGCGGCCTCGGAGCCTGCCAGAATGGGAATATTGGGGAATTGGTGTATTGATTGCCTGGCAGGCACGAAGGAGCAAGGGCCTTTTGCAAACTGGTAGCTGTGCAGGCTTTTCAGCTGTGGTAGGCGCGCTAAGTGAGTGGTTGCGCTTTACGGCAGACTTATGCCCAAGGAAGGCTCAACCGGTGTGCAGTGCAGAACAGTGGAATTCAATCGCAGCAGGAGCGACTTGCACCGGAAGCACAAAACGTCCAAACGCAAAGAAAGAAGGAGCGCATCAACTCAAAAATAAAATGAGCTATCCGCAGTGCCTCGACAATGTCGTCAACAGGGCCAGGCCAAGCACCAACATCAGCCAACCGTTAACCGCCAAAACCAGGCCAGGCCAGGTACGGAGTAATTACAGCTTGCCTGTTTCAACGATTGCGCGCCACTAAGGCTCTGCATGTACAGCACTCAACTGAACATGACTTGGGACCAGAGTCGGCGAATTAAATTTAATGAAAATTTAAATACTAAAATCCCCCAAGACAGGCCGCGCCTTCCGTTTGAACCTTCCGTTTGAAAAATTCCCCTCTTTGGCCACTCACAGGCAACGCTAACAAGCGACTTCAACCTCATCTGTCACCTATTGTGTTGCACACCCAATTTGTCACCCTCCATCTCTCCCCTCTACAGACACCGCCGCCAAGAACTATGACAGGCATGCCGACGATTGCCTGGGCATCATAGGAACGGCTCTTCTTTCGCGATTCGAATATCTCTCGGTTGCTTGCCGCGTCGACGCAAAAGCACTGCACGAATCGCCCCCGATATTCGCCGTTCGCTTCCTCTCGTCTCCTTTTTTCCCTCCTCACACAATGCTCCGACACACGACCGCGGCCGCGGCCGCCTCTCGACATGTCTCTCGACGCGCTTTTGCCTCACTTGCCAATACGCCAACGACGCCCGGCGAGAAGCTGCATGGCTTCACCGTGCTGCGCTCGAAGCACGTGCCCGAGCTCAAGCTGACGGCGCTGCACCTGCAGCACGACAAGACGGGCGCCGAGCACCTTCATATTGCTCGCGACGACGCCAACAATGTGTTTTCGATTGGCTTCAAGACAAACCCTCCTGACGATACGGGCGTGCCGCACATCCTTGAGCACACGACGCTCTGCGGCAGCGAGAAGTAGGTTTCCATGTCTCCCAACGAAGAACGAAGAGCGACTCTAATTGTACACTCGATATTAACCACCACCAGGTACCCCATCCGTGACCCCTTCTTCAAGATGCTGCCGCGCACGCTGTCGAACTTTATGAACGCCTTCACCGCGTCCGACCACACGTTCTACCCGTTCGCGACGACCAACGCCCAGGACTTCAAGAACCTCATGTCTGTGTACATGGATGCCACGCTGCACCCGCTGCTGAAGGAGACCGACTTCACGCAGGAGGGCTGGCGTGTCGGCCCCGAGAACCCGCAGGTGGCGGCCGACGCCTCCAAGGACGGCGCCAAGGACGACAGCAAGCTCGTCTTTAAAGGCGTCGTGTACAACGAGATGAAGGGCCAAATGTCCGACGCTGGCTACCTCTTCTACATCCGCTTCCAGGACCACATCTTCCCGGCCATCAACAACTCGGGCGGCGACCCGCAGAAGATTACGGACCTCACATACGCGCAGCTGCGCCAGTTCCATGCCGAGCACTACCACCCAAGCAACGCCAAGGTCTTCACGTACGGCGATATGCCGCTGGCCGACCACCTGCGCGAGATTGATGCCCGTCTGAGCGCCTTTGAAAAGAGCGGCCGCGACGCCGAGGTCCGCCTACCCATCGACCTGGCCGACAAGTCCGAGAGCGTCACCGTCACCGGCCCCACCGACCCGCTCGTCGACCCGTCGCGGCAGTTCAAGACGTCTGTGTCGTGGATCCTAGGCGACACCACCGATGTCGTCGAGTCCTTCTCTCTGGCGCTGGTGTCGGCCCTGCTCATGGACGGCTACGGCTCGCCGCTGTACAGGGGCCTGATCGAGACCGGCCTCGGCATTGACTGGAGCCCCAACACGGGGTACGACAGCTCAGGCCGTGTGGGCATTTTCTCGGTTGGCCTGACGGGCGTGCAGGAGACCGACGTGGCCCACGTCAAGGACGAGGTGGATGCGATCCTGCGCAACGTCCGCGACAAGGGCTTTGAGCGGGCCAAGATCGACGGCTACCTGCACCAGCTGGAGCTCAGCCTGAAGCACAAGACGGCCAACTTTGGCATGGCCCTGCTGCAGCGCCTCAAGCCCAAGTGGTTCACGGGCGTCGACCCCTTTGACGCGCTCGCCTGGAACGACACCATTGCCGCCTTCGAGGCCAAGCTGGCCGAGGGCGGCTACCTCGAGGGCCTCATGGACAAGTACCTGCTGGGCCGCAACACGCTCTCCTTCACCATGACGCCCTCGGCCACCTACATCCAAGAGCTCGCGCAGGAGGAAGAGGCGCGCCTTGCGTCCAAGATTGCCGAGGTCGCACACCAGTCGGGCGGCGAGGCGGCGGCGCGCCAGCGTCTCGAAGAGCAGGAGGCTGTGCTGCTCGTGGAGCAGGGCAAGTCCAACACCGAAGACCTGAGCTGCCTGCCGACGGTTCACGTCCAGGACATTCCGCGCACCAAGGAGCCCGTGGTGGTGCGCGAGGAGACGGCCGACAACGCGGTCCGCCTGCAATGGCGCGAGGCGCCCACCAACGGCTTGACGTACTTTCGCGCCATCAACGCGCTGGGCCACCTGCCGGACGAGCTGCGGTCGCTCGTCCCGCTCTTCACCGATGCCATCATGCGCCTGGGCACAAAGACGGACACGATGGAGCAGCTCGAGGACCGCATCAAGCTGCAGACGGGCGGCGTGTCTGTGGGCTACCACTCGTCCGCGTCGCCGACCGACTACACCGACGCCAACGAGGGCATCATCTTCACCGGCATGGCGCTGGACCGCAATGTGCCCGCCATGCTGGATCTGCTGCGCACGCTGGTGCTCGAGACCAACTTTGACAGCCCCGAGGCCGTGCAGCACATCCGCCAGCTGCTGCAGGCAGCGTCCGATGGCGTCGTCAACGACATTGCGTCGTCGGGCCACGCGTTTGCACGCCGTGCCGCAGAGGCCGGGCTGACGCGCAGCGCGTTTTTGCGGGAGCAGGTCAGCGGCCTCTCGCAGGTGAAGCTGATTACGAGCCTCGCCAACCGGCCCGAGACCGACCAGCTCGATGACGTGCTGGCCAAGCTGAAGCAGATCCAGCAGCTTGCCATGCAAGCCGACGGCAGCGGCAGCGGCCTACGCGCCGCCATTACCTGCGGCACCGAGAGCGTCGAGGCGAACTCGTCGGCCCTGTCCAAGTTCATGTCGTCTCTGCCCGCTCCCGCTCCCGCTGCGGCCCACGTGGGCACGGCGTCCGCCGCGGCCGCCGAGGCTGCGAAGCGCGTGCAGCGCGTCTTTGCCAACGCCGAGGGCACGCCGCGCCAGACGTTCTACGCGCTGCCGTATCAGGTCTACTACGGTGCGCTCGTCGTGCCGGCCGTGTCGTACACGTCGCCCGACAGTGCGCCGCTGCAGGTGCTGGCGCAGCTGCTCACGCACAAGCACCTGCACCACGAGATCCGCGAAAAGGGCGGTGCGTACGGTGGTGGCGCGTCCGCCAATGCGCTGGAGGGCGTCTTTGGCTTCTATTCGTACCGCGACCCCAACCCGGCCAACACGCTGGGCATCATGCGCGACGCCGGCCGCTGGTCGGTCGAGCGCGCGTGGACCGACCGCGACCTCGAGGAGGCCAAGCTCTCCATCTTCCAGAGCGTCGACGCGCCGCGCGCCGTCAACGAGGAGGGCATGGGCCAGTTCCTGTACGGCGTGACCGAGGCCATGCGGCAGACGCGCCGCGAGCAGCTGCTGGACGTCTCGCGCGAGCAGGTGCGCAACGTGGCGCAGCGGTACCTCGTCGACGGCCTCGCAAAGCAGGCCGAGCGGACCGTGTTCCTCGGCGAGCAGCAGCCGTGGGTCGATCCGACGGCGTGGAACGTGGAGGCGATGCACGTCAAGACAGAGTAATCACGTCGACCACGAAACGAACATTTTACAAGGCGGCGGGGAGGTGGCCTTTTTCTTTTTCTTTTTCTTTTTTTTGTTTGGTAGGAGCATTCGGCGTTTTCTGGGCATATTAGACGGGGACCTGGATACAAAAACAGACGAAGAAGGCCTTGGGACAATACACAACTCACTCCACTTGTATAAAGCAGCCAAAAAATACCAGCATATACACAGCATCTACGACGAAAATAGACAGCATGTTACGATCGCAGCAGCACATCGTGTCATCATTGGGCCCTCAGGTGCTACCCCCAGGAACCCCCTTCCCCCCAGCACAAAATACATTTCAGCGCTCAGATACGATACGTCTTGTGGCTTTGCATCGAGTCCTCTCGGTTCAACCCTATAGCCATCGAGACCACTAAACGGCGCAAGAACAAACTTATTCAAGAGGGAAAAGAGGAGAGATAGAAGAAGAGAAAAGGGAGTTATCGAGCCGGTTTCGGTGCTCAGCCAAAGCCCTCCTGTCGTCCTAGTTTCTCCTTTTCTACTTTCTTGCTCTCGTTCAGAGCTTTTCTCGTCCGTTGCATCAGACCCGACTTTTTTCTTCATCCATCCTTGAAATGTCGGACTAAAGAACAGGATACATATTTTACGACGTAAATGCATGCGATATTTTGTCGTTCTCACGGCAACAAAGGAAAATGATGCCGCCCGTCTTAAGCACGGGATATCTGACAAAACTCCCAGGAACGAACATACGCAAATCAAATCCAACGGCACACGAACAGCACACGAACAGCGCAAAATGACACATGCATGGCCAGCTGCGGTTCCCGATCAGCCAACCAAGCGGCCAATAATGGGACCGCATCTCAAATGCAAGCTCCGTGTCTCCTCTCTCCTCCGGCCTGCTGTCCCCCTCTTTGGTCGCATTGCAGCTGCACGTCAGGCTCTTGTCCCTTTTGGGATGTCAGATGTGACCAGTGACAGCACTCACAAGCATGCCGTCCATACAAGTGCAGCATTCTAGAATAATGGTTTGGCCATTCATGTTACCGTCACTATTATGTATATTTTTATTTTATCATTTATTCCGCCATTCGTTTCCATGTCCGGATTTTCATCGTTTGCTCCTTTGTTTTATTATATATCTCAAAAGCTTCCCTTTTTCGACATGTTCGATCAGCCTTCACCTTGTTCAAAATCCTTGCAGTGGCAATGGCCTTGCGTCAGTCATATGCCACAACTTTGGAGCGTGGCTGTGTGAACCAGAATCGGCATCTTCGCGTCCGCCATTTAATATTCCATTTATTTTATATGTGCCCAAGCAAGAACTATGCCAGGCTTCTGACGTTGGGTTGCGCCTTCCTCGTCACGGTCTCCACAATAGCAGCACAAACTTGCGGTCAGTGAAGGAAGGAGACGGTTGTCCACGCTGCTATTTTGTACTAAATACAGAGATAGTGTCCTAACCGTGCGTTCGTTCCTTCCTCGAGACGGGAACAAAAGGAGACGGCAGGCCCCACCTTAAAATTTTTCGTCAATGTTGATGCAACAGGCGGCGAGCAAGCGAGCATTTACAGCAAGTATTCGCCCATTCGAGTCATTCGGCTGCTGTCGATTGCTCCGGTAGAGACAGCACTACCAGCAGTGCCTTGTTCCAAGCTAGAGGCAGCTCGATTTTCCCTCATATTGAAATTTGTAACACTGCCAATTCACGTGTCCTGTTGACCACAGTCGCGCCTTCCAACTTGGTAATCGATGATGTACAAGTACGTCGTAAGCATTACGAAGTAATCACTCCAGTATTTTGTACTTGACAGCAAATCAGCATTGTTTAGCCCACTATAGCGACGGGAGCATGCTTGTTCAAGGTATCGCGGCATACATATTTTGCGGGTGAGGTACATGGTAACGTGCCTAAAAACCCCAAGCCCCACCACGAAACTTTTTTTTATTTTTATTCCTTTTTTTGCCATTCGCTTCCCCACTAGCGATCTTTTTTTTTGGCCCGCGCCTTCCCTTTCGGTTGTATTGGTCTGGTTCCCGAACTCTATTGCAAAATTGAAGGCAAGACGACAACGGTCACCTCCTTCCTGATTTTCCACCTCTGCACATCTCCTTCTTGTCTTCTTCTTCAACTTGTTTTTTCGTCACTCTTCCATCACCATCACAACCACCTCGTTTTACCTGTTTTGTAAGTCAACCCTTTGCTGCGGTCAAGGGCGCATTCCGATACCGCCATTGCACCATCCACCCGCTCGACGTGCCGCGATATTTTCGTAGCTTTTTGCCCGCCGCTTTTCGCCGCGATATCTGCTCTTTCGCCCATCTCCTTCACTCTCTCGTCACGTCTGCCTGGTCTTTGCTCTCAATTGACTCGCACGTCTCGGCCATCCATTGTTCCTGGCTAACAGCCGCCCAGCTCGTCAGACACTCAGCTTTCCGCTTTTCAATTTCGACAACATTCGCCCTCGCCCAGGCTTGCCTTTGCTTCCCAAAGGCGCCCCATCACCCACCACGGCTTTCTCGGCCGTTTTCCTGCTCGCAGATCAACATTCCGGCATTCGCCAGCCCTTCCACATCCTCAACGCGATTCCTCCTCCCGCTGCTGAGCTCGCCCAGCGCGTCTCCGCTTAAGCTGCTCCCCGGGTCGTCGTATCTGGACCCAACCCCTAGGCCACCTCCCCCAGCGTCCTCGCACAACCAGCTGCCGCATAGGAAAGGTTCTGAGGTTCTTCCTCTCGCCGAGGAAGAGTCGAGGAGGCCTCGTCAGACCGGTTCTGGTTCTGTCCGTTTTCAATTCCGACCCCCATAACACCGCTTTCACCACATTGGTTGCTCCCTTTTCTCCAGCTTTTTAGCTCTATCCAAACATCGCATAGTCACTCGCTTGTCTCTCGACTCTCGACTCTCGACAGATATAACTCTTTCCGCCACCGACAACACGCTCGAGAACTCAGTGCTGTTCTCCGACCAACAGACATAACCGTCACCATTGTCTCATTCGACTCTCTTGTCCGAGCGCTGCTTCGTTTTTGATTACCACGTTCCCTTCGCCAGTCAAGGAGATGGTTATGGCAACAACGTCTCTGGTTGAATGCGTCGCCCCTGTTACATTTCACAATAGTAACATTGGCCATATCAAGAAACAACAGCATCATGGCGCAACCCATGCCCACAATGCCAAGCAACTGATTGGCGATGCTCTCCGCCAGCGTGTGGAGAACATTGACCATGAATTCTGCGAGCCTGGCGAAGAAGACACCTTCTTCGTCGCCGACCTCGGCGAGGTCTACCGCCAGCAGCTGCGCTGGAAGATGAACCTGCCCCGCGTCAAGCCCTTTTACGCCGTCAAGTGCAACCCCGACCCCAAGGTCCTCCGCCTTCTGGCCGAGCTTGGCAACGGCTTCGACTGCGCCTCCAAGGCTGAGATCGAGCAGGTCCTGGACATGGGCGTCGACCCGTCGCGCATCATCTATGCCCAGCCCTGCAAGACCAACTCGTACGTCCGCTACGTCGCCTCCAAGGGCGTCCGCGCCATGACGTTCGACAACGCCGACGAGCTGCGCAAGATTGCCAAGCTCTACCCGGACGCCGAGCTGTTCCTGCGCATCCTGACCGACGACAGCTCGTCGCTGTGCCGCCTCAGCCTCAAGTTTGGCGCGTCGCTTGACACCACCGACGGCCTGCTGGCCCTGGCCCGCGAGCTGAACCTCAACGTCGTCGGCGTCTCGTTCCACGTCGGCTCCGGTGCCTCCGACCCCCAGGCCTTCCTCAAGGCTGTCCAGGACGCCTATGCCGTCTTCAGCCAAGCCGCCACGCACGGCTACAGCCTCCGCACCCTCGACGTTGGCGGCGGCTTCTGCAGCGACGACTCGTTTGAGGGCATGGCCACCGTGCTCCGCGACGCTCTGGACGAGTACTTTCCTCCCCATCTCGGCGTGTCCTTGATTGCCGAGCCCGGTCGCTATTTTGTTTCGTCCGTGTTCACCATTGCCTGCAACATCATTGCTCGCCGTACGCTCGAGGACCCCGAGCAGGCCGCGGACGGCAACGCCCGGCGTGACCCCAGCTACATGGTGTACGTCAACGACGGCTTGTACGGCAACTTCAGCAGCATCATGTTCGACCACCAGAATCCCGTGGCCAAGGTGCTGACCTCCAACGCGCGGTTCCTGTACGACACCGAGGGTGCCCATGCGACCACGGCCGACGCTGGTGCCGCGGGTACCGAGTACTCGATCTGGGGCCCAACCTGCGACGGCATTGACCGCATCACGGAGAGCATCCGCTTCCGGCAGACGCTGGACGTGGGTGACTGGCTGTACTTTGAGGACATGGGCGCGTACACGAGCTGCTCGGCCACGCGCTTCAACGGCTTCACGGACAACCACGACGTCATCTACGTGTGCAGCGAGCCGGGTGCCCGCGCGCTTCTCGGGATGCACTAAAACATTGTCAAGAGTGTGTGTCTCTACGGCTGAGCCATGTCGCTGTGGTGGGATGTACTGGCCGGACGAAACGAAACAGCCCTTGCCACAAACCGTTGTTGAGAAAAAAAGACGAAGAGGATGCCAGAAGAACACGTCCATGGCAGTTCCAAGAAGAGACCTAAAAGGTTCCGTTAATGCTGCCGTTGTCCTTGTTCAAGGAGCCAAAGCAAGGGACCATCATGCGTTTGCTGCTGTTATTGTTTACTTACATTCGTACCCCCAAGGACCAAAAGTTATTGCCCCGTGCTCTGATCGTTTGCGGTTGCCATGGTCCATCTTTTAGAAACAGATTTTTTATTTAAACATCAGCCAAAATTAAAAGGTTTTCAAAATCATAAATATATATAGCTCCGAATTTCGTAAAGTACTGTATGACATTGTTAAAAATAAAACCGGATTCCCACGTGTCACGCCATTGCCGTCCACACCGTTGGAGGAGATAGTGGGTGCTACATGTGCATCGGAGAGTTTTGCTGCTACCCGTGTGTTTTCAAATGCTGATTTTTTTTGGTTTCCGTTGGG